ACGCGCTTTACTAGGAAATTGCCCGGTTGGCGGCGGAAATTAGAATACGCTGACAGCACCCGCCAACAGAGAGGTAAATAACCCTTAACAAACAAGCGACTATATTGCGGGAAGATACTTTTAGAATAGAGTAAAACCTAATAAATGTTTATCTATTTTCTAAAGTATGAACCGGAATGTTTACCGATTTTCTCAAATATAAATTGGATGATGAATATATTGTTATCTATTGAATATTTTGATTCGATTTTATACCGAATCAATGTTCATCTTGTTTACCTTACCTACATTTTTTAGCATAGCGTAATGCCTAGATTTTTTTTAAAATTCGTGTAATATCTACATTTTATTTACCTTAGTTTAATGGCTACATTTTATACATTCGTGTAATGTTTACATTTTTCCATTAGTATAATGTCTACATTTTTTTTACCTTGTTGTAATGTCTACATTTTTTATCCTTAGTGCAATGTCTACATTTTTTACCTTTGTGTAATGTCTCCATTTTGCATTAGTGTCATGTCTACACTTTATTTACTTTAGTGTAATGTTTACATTTTTACGTTAATGTTTACATTTTTACTTGAGGGCAATGCCTACATTGGTTTTTAACTTAGTGTAATATCTACATTTTTTACCTTAGTGTAATTTTTACATTTTTACCGGAGTTCATTTTTTTACCTTTGTGTAATGTCTACTTTTTGCCTTAGTATAATGTCTACATTTTACCATTAGTGTAATGTCTAAATTTTTACTTTAGTGTAATGTTACATTTTTTTGCCTTAGTGCAATGTCTCTATTTTTTTTTACCTTACTTTAATGTCGACATGGAAACAGTCAGACCATTACAATTCACCACACGTACCCCGCGTGGAACCTCAAAAAGCTATACTATCGCCTCTTCCATTTTCCAATCGGTCTGTAAATATTTCTTTTGATGCCAGCATCAGGCATCTCGATTCTGAATCTTTTTCACGTTCCGAAATTTCTTCCCGATTTCAATTTTAGGCGAAGCTAGAAATTTCATGAAAACGCTGATTCAATAGGGTGAAGCAATGTTTTGCCTAAACACTTTGCTAGGAATGTGATGAACTGCGAGACGAATTGCAAGGATGCATACTACGGTGACAGCGCCCAAAATTTCAGTGTCCAATCACTGTAGAATGTGTAAAAACAGAATTACCTGTTTACACATACGAAGTCAGAGTTACGTTGATTGGTTACCAGATTATATGAAGGTCACGCAAATGGGTACTAGATGTTCAAAAGTAACTGAATAATTTCCAGTCAAAATGAAATGTAACTGAATAGTAATTTAGGAAAGAATACTTTCAGTTGTCTTGTATTCATTCGTTTCAAAATATATATATATATATATATATATATATATATATATATATATATATGCTGAATTCTCCCGTCGTTTATCAACGAATGAGGGTCAAGCAACTCAGTTCCTAGGAACCTATAACCAAACAACTGCACATATGATTTGATTATAGTGGTGAAGGCTTTGTGCAGAACCAACCACAACTTTTTGAAAAGCCGAATACAGAGACCTGGTGCAGTACGTGCCACAAGATCCTCAAACGACCCTCCGTTTTTTATTTTTGAATACAACGGTAGCTAGACCAGTTGTCATCCATGGCTATAAAACCCAGTCGGTCCTGCTATTACCCATAACTGGTGGCGATGAGAAGAAGAGGATCTATACCTTTCCCAAGGGTATCAACACGTAAGTGAAAGTAATGGATTCGACTGAATTCGAACTCAGCTCTCCGATATTTCAATCTGTCACCCATGAAACACACTTTTATCCAATCTTATTTTCTATTCCTCCCTGCACTGGATCACAGTATCAGAAAGTCTTTAATATATATATATATATATATATATATATATATATATATATATATATATATATATATATATATATATATATATATATATATATATATATATATATATATATATATATATATATATATATATATATATATATATATATATATATATATATATATATTTATATATATATATATATTGTTTGTATATTATTCAATTCACGAATAAATATATAATTGAATAAAAAAAAAAATGCACTGTAGCATATATATATATATATATATATATATATATATATATATATATATATATATATGTGTGTGTATATATATATATGTGTGTATATATATATATATATATATATATATATATATATTATATATATATATATATGAAACTTTTTCTGTTTTCTTTTTTGAATTTGTAGGTCTGATGATTTGGATCGTATTTACGATTCCAATGGAATAAATTATGACCATGGAATATTAGTGTTTAAGCCTTTTTTGTTATATCCTTACTCTGTTCTGGACATTGAGTTCTACCTGGATTCTATCCTCTTGGAATTATTTTTAATACACATATACATATGTATGTGTATGTATGTAAATATATATTTATATATTTTAGATATATGATTGCATATGTATGTGTATATAAACCACTAATATTATATATATATATATATATATATGTAAGCAAATATATAGATATAGATCCGACAGAGAAGAAAAATATACTGAAAAAACAAACAAAAATCCTAATATTCGATTATGCTGTTTTAATGTTTAATGTCAACTTTGCTTTTATGCCCATCGTCTTTTTCATGTCGAATTGTATACTGTCTATGTTAATTATGTTTTATGAATATGTCCTGAAGATGGTCTATTAGACCGAAACGTCCGACGGTGACATTAAACATTAAAACAGCATAATCGCATATTAGGATTTTTGTTTGTTTTTTCAGTATATTTTTTCTTCATACTGTCGGATCTATATCCATATATTTGCTTAATATATATATATATATATATATATATATATATATGCATCTGCTCACAACGTCCTGTGTATCCGGCAGTTGCTGACCTTAAAGTCCATTACCTTACTGGAACAACATTCCTATTCACCTGATCTCGCTTCGTGTGACTTTTTTTCCTAATCTCAAGGGGATCATCATGGCGTGTAGGCTGTCAGGAGGGCCGTAACGACGGAGCTGAGGGGGAATTCATGAAGAATCATTTCAGCTGTCTGTACAAGTGTGGCAGAGAGGGATGGAAAAGTGCATCAAGTAAGAGGAGGGGTGATTGAAGGGGATCCCATGCAGTTTCAGATTGGCATCGTATGTCTGAATGCGTGTTTGAAAGTGTTCTTGTTTGTTCGAATGATGTATTTTACTGATTGAATCTTGTATTTTTTTTTCTGATAGTTCTCTCTCTCGATTAGGTTTTTGCGAGTGGCGTACATGAGAATATGTCTACTGAGTATACTTAAATTTCTATGTAAATCTAGAACGTGTGAATCTATTTTAAAAATTCATTTTAACTCAGATTTTCGTCAATTTTGTTAAAAGCTAACTGAAAATACATCTGACCTTATCAACACTATGGCCTGGTTGGTAGAAATCTGAAGATAGAGTGAACTTGATGGTTTCGTATCGCATACATTTCTTGCCGTTATTAAACCGAAGATTGTGTACCATATAATTTCATTTATCTCTCTCTCTCTCTACACATACTCACACCCCCCACACAAACACACCCACCTACACACACAGACACGCACACACACAGACACACACACACTCCTATATATATATATATATATATATATATATATATATATATATATATATATATATAGTCATCGACAGACAGACTGTTTCGCAGTTTCACGGCTTATCAGTGTGGCTTGACATTCGATTGCCTCAAGCCGAGATCGAAACATTACTTTACCTCTAAGCCATTGGCGCACGACAGGGATGAAGGCGAATTTAGACGTATATGTTTTTGACAAGCACACTAGTGGACTGGAGAACTCGATTCGTCTTAACGAAATATATATATATATATATATATATATATATATATATATATATATAAGAAAAAATATATATATATATACATATATATATATATATATATATATATATATATATACACACACACATACATATATATATATATATATATATATATATATATATATATATATATATATATATATCGTCTACGCTGGCGTCTACGTGCATGTGTATGTTAGGAATAAGTGCTTAGATGGCCTATTGCTAATCCGTAAATAAGTGTAGGCAGCAAATCCTCGCAATGTAATCGTGCGTACGAAAATAAACCGTTGGATAAAGAGCCACATGTTTGCCTTTGAAGATCAAGAAAGCTTTACCAGGGACCTACTGACCCAAATACTGTATGATTCTCTCCTTTTTTTTTTGTTTGTTTCGCCGACATATTTGCCTTTATTGTATCATGCACGATTTAATATTAATCACAAACAAAGACGCACATAAAAACGGAAAGACGAAAGCGAATGCGAGAAATTCTTTCTTTTTATGAGACGCATGGAATTGATTTTTGTTGGATCGAAATACAAATAATAAGGAAATGGGTGAGAAGGTCTTAGAGAGCAGGGATCATGACACGGGAAAGCTCGTGTACTTTTCAAATTCTTAAATAGCATTTCTGATTGGACGGCTATGCAAAAGTATGTGTCATGGAATGCTGTGCAAATATTTGCTGGAGTGCCCCAGAATGAAATTCACTAACTGAGGCTGACGAAATATTATTTGCTATAAAAGCAGTGTGTACATGTATTTTTATACGCTAATATAATTTTATTGGATATATTTGTCTGTCGTCAGCAATGACACTCACTCCACCCTATCTCTTTCTCTATTGTTATGCATATATAGTCCTATCTATCTATCTAGCTAGCTAGCTAGAAAGCTATAGAAGTTTATTCATACCAATCTCTCACTTACTCTCTGCCTCTCTGTCTGTCACTGTTTCTGTCTCCGTCTCTCTCTCTCTCTCTCTCTGTCTCTCTCCCTCCCTCTCTCTCTCTCTCTCTCTCTCTCTATATATATATATATATATATATATATATATATATGGATCTGTCTGATCATATCAATCGGTTTGCTCATGTCTTTCTTAGTCTGTTCATATCTATCTATCTATCTATCTATCTATCTATCTATCTATCTATCTATCTATCTCATTCTATTCATATCTATTTCCGTCTGTTCATATCTACCTATCTATGTCAGTCTTTTCAAAACTATCTGTCTCAATAACGGTAGCATATCTATCTATCTATCTATCTATCTATCTATCTATCTATCTATCTATCTATCTATCTATCTATCTTATTCTGTTCATGTCTTTTTCAGTCTGTTCATATCTATCTATCTATCTATCTATCTATCTATGTCAGTCTTTTCAAAACTATCTGCCACCCTATGTTAACATATCTATCTAGCTAGCTAGCTAGCCTGTTCACATCTATCAATTTATTTATCTGTGTGCGTTCATATCTATCTATCTATCTATCTATCTATCTATCTATCTATCTATCTATCTATCTATCTATATGAGATCTGATACAAAAGTATCGGGAATGTTCTTATAGCTAAGTTATAACGTTCCTGCTCACCTCCGTTTTTCATATCAGCGCTTGGACAAAAGTATGTATCGTGAGGTCGTCTCACCAAACCAGAGATGTTACATCAGTATTCATGGCTTGTGCAACAGTTTTTGCACAAGTGCAACATTCCTCAGGTTCGACAAATAGAATAGTCCTGAGAATCCAGCCCTTGTGACATTTTCTTGTAAATAATTTAAATCCCACTTGAAGGAAGATAATTTCCAGACCTTGAGTTGTACCACGAGAATGCGACAAATATGTGACTTCAGAAAGAGACAAATTCGAAGGAGATTAAATACAGAATTAATGCATTTTCTTTTACACTTTATAGCAGCAGTCGCGATATTTATCATGACTCGTGTCTGTATGTATATATATATATATATATATATATATATATATATATATATATATATATATATATGTGTGTGTGTGTGTGTGTGTGTGTGTGTGTGTGTGTGTGTGTGTCGTAAGATCTAATCTAAAAGGGGCGCAATGCAAAAGTAGACCAATTCTATTTAATTTAGGATATTACTTCGAAAATCGCTATACAATTTTTTATGAAACATATATATATATATATATAAATAAATATATATGAAGAAATATACATATGACAAAAAAACAGAATGTCCTTAGCAATTGGAGGAATGTAAAGAATGCTATTTTCATATTGTTAACTGAAAATAACGTCAGTTATTGTCTCCTGTGGAGAATATTGTCAATGTAGCTGTGTTGACGGATTCAACCATTTTCTTTTGATTTTACGAAATTGTTGTGTACGTTTATTTTTATTATTTTGTTATTATTAGTTACTTTCTTTAATTAAATTCATTTCGTTTTTTGCTTTGAGAAAGTCCACATTGGACGAAACGCTTCAGCAATAACTACAGTTTTCCTATTGTCATTTATATTTATAAATATTGTCTTATCTACAGTTTAACTATGAGAAAATTTCATATAAATACATACATACATATATATATATATATATATATATATATATATATATATATGTATGTATATATATATATATGTGTGTGTGTGTGTGTGTGTGTACCTGCAAATGGAATATCAATAACAATAATGGCAAGAGGAAAACATGTTTTTGTAACGCGTTTCGTTATTTGAGGAATTTCATCAAGCCAAATGTAGTAAAGTTTTCATTAAAATAACGTATTTATACAGGCCACGCAGAAACAAATCTATCGTTGAGAAAAAATAAAGTTATACGTTCGAATTTAAATAATTCGAAAATGCTTGAAAATACTCGAGAATCTCCCGACGTTGTGAAATGGAGACGAAAATATGGCGATGCTTAATTGATGTAAATTTGAAATGTTATAAGAAAGTGAATTAGTATCTTTAATATTATTATGTTTATTATTAATGTTATGTTATTATTTTCTTTTGATTTCTGTTGTTTACACATTTAATTCTGTGTTATATTCATGACATTTTCCACTGAGCATTTTTGTAAAAATCAAAAGAAATATGACACACATTTTACATAGATAAAACCCTTCGTAAAGTGCATAAACTCTATGGACAGAACATCGATATTAGAGAAAGAAAAATAAGAGATGAAACAAATATATCGGAAAAGTCTTCCATGGCGAAAGAAAACAACCTTCAGTACACAAATTAACCGGAAGTATTAAAAACCGTAATGGAAGCTGCACTGACCAACTTGAACAGAAATAAAGTGGCAAAGCCAGACGGAATTGTAATTGAGATGCTGGCAGCCATTGACGTTTTCAGCATAGACAAGTTTACAGAAATAATAAATGAAATCTACAAAAGTGCGGATATACCAGAAGACCTAAGCAGATCTATTTTCTTAGCATTTCCTAAGAAACCAGGCACAAACGATAGTGAACTCCATCAGACAATCAGCCTAATGAGATATATAACAAAACACATCGTCTAAATTCTGATGAATAGAACACGTAACAGAATCAAACGGTGCAGGTTCGTCAAATCCAAGGAAGGCGATATTTATGCTAATAATGGTATCAGAAAGAACGATACAAATGCAGATGGAAGTGTACCTATGGTTTATAGATTACGCAATGGCGTTTGATAATGTTCGCTACAAAGATCTGTTGGAACTGCTCAGAAACCTTGATATATTTGGAAAGGATATTAGAATAATCATGAACTTATAGTGGCAGCAAACCGTTTGCATATGGATAGAAACTAAGTTTAGCAGACACAAAAAATAGAAAAGCGTATAAGAAAAGGATATGTCTTTGGACCGGATTTTTTCAACTTATACAGCGAGACAATTCTGAGAGAATTACAAGTTCGACAAGGATTCATTATTGACGGCCATTATCTTAACAACATTAGATATGCAAATGAAATATTGTTGGTAACTACTTTTTTCTTGCTTTCCTTCCTTACTTTCCGACAGGAAAGTAACGAAGAAAAAAAGAGAAGAAAGGATTAAATTTAAATTACAAAACAGAATGTATGGTTATCGGGGAAAAGGGTGAAATCACAATGCAAATTACACGTCGGGGATACTAAAATCAAACAAGTCCAGATATATAAATATCTAGTAATTGTTTTAACAGAGAAGTAAAATGCGACCCTGAGATCTGAAGACGTATTGGGATGGCCAAAGTCACATTCCAGAGAATTAAGTGACAGACAAATTTCTTTACAAAGAAAATATTTCTGAACTGTTACGCGATATCTGTCACATATGACAGCGAATGCTGGACAATCTCCTCAAATATGAAAAAGAATCTTGAACCAACAGAAATGTGGTCTTACAGAAGGATACTGAGGATACCAAGGACCGATCATGTGAGCAACGACGAGGTTTTATAGTAAATGGAAACAAAATGTAAATTTATAGTTAACATCAGGTAGAGGCAGCTGCAACTTCATTGAGGAAGGAGGACTTGGAAAATCTGATACTGACAGGACAGATAGAAGGAAAGAGAGACAGAAGAAAGAATGACTTGATGGGCTTGAGTAAATTCATGGTAGAACAGATTTGGGTAGAAATAGCAAAAAGAAAGGATATTAAGATATAAAAGGAACAGGAATATGTGGAGAGCCATAACTGCTTATTTCCTAGAAGGACACAGTCCGTAAAAGAAGAAGATGTGAGCTGTACATGTAAGAATTATTTTGTATTTCCTTAAGACAAGGGTTACCAGGAATCCCTTCAATGAGTCTATCGGAACTATTTTCAATGAATTTGAGGGCTAGAATTATTGATGAACACATGTGCCAATTTTTCTAGATTCCCCCTTCAAGATCCTTGTATTTTGATAGTTTTTTTGAAGCTCTTCAAATATTCTTTTGTTATACTAGAACACACCTATTCTATTGTTAATAGACTCTCTCACCTATAATAAGTAGAAGTAGTAGCAGTCGCTAAAGTCGGGCTCAGTGCGTTGGTCAGTCAGTCGATGTCTGACGACCGTTAGTCGGATATTAAAGTATCAGCCACCACAACTAGATTGCTACGTCATTACCTATTATATCAAGTTCCTAACGTTTTGTACGTCGAATCTATTTTAGGACCGACTTAGTGAAATACAAGCCTCTACTGTGAAACTACTCTACAACACTTTACAATTTGCAGGAACTGCCATGTCAGTTGGAAAGCACGTTCTGTTCTCTGGTCTTACAGGTCCTATGTCTGTAATTGAGTCTGTGTGGTGTTCATACTAGTTGCTTCGAGTCTCCTTTTATCTTTATTTTTTTGTTGTTGTTTTTAATCATTTCACCCCATGCAACGCGAAAATGCCATTAGCACACAAAGGTTACAGAAAGTGAAAGTGAAAGTGAGAGAAAAGACTGATTATATGGAGAATCAAGGAAAGGACAAATGATGACGGAGATTCAAGAAAATAGAAGATGCCGGTCACATTTAAATTTTTAAAGATTGTAGTTATCATGGAAGCAATTAAACTGAAGGGAGTTCCACTGACGGGAAGTGCGAGAAAAGAAACTCTTGGCGTAGAAGTGGAGGCTACATTTAATTATTTCAAGAGTAAACGGGTCGTTCTAGATATCAATCAAGTCGCACGCTTAACTTCATTTAATCGGGGCACCAGAAAAAAAATCTTCTCAGAACAGTTATAATTTAGAAGGAACCAAAAACCCAATCCTAAGCAGGAAACAAAGGATAACCCTCTACACTTGTTCAAAAAACTGGGTAGGTGTGCGAACCGGGCGGTAGGCGAACCTATCTACTCCTACTGATTATTAAAAAAGTTATTAATAGTTGAAATCGCTCATCTAAAACATGGGATCTCAACCGGGGTCCATATAGCCCCTAGGGGGATCATGCAATATTTCTAAGAGTCCACAGGTAAAATAAAACAAATTGTGGGTTCACAATGATATATTTGTGGTTCATGAAGAAAGCCAACTCAGAATGTTTTTTTTTTGTTATTAAAAATTAAATTTCTCCTGTAATATATATATATATATATGAATGATTCTTTCTTTATTTCTTTTATATAGGTACCTCCACTGAATTTTCCATACTTAAGGTTTAAAATTAATTGCTATGTTATTGCTTTTCCAACATCTGTTCTCTGTCAAAGACACATTCCAGAGAATTAAGAATCAGACAAATGTCTTTACAAAGAAAAGAGTTTTGAACTGTTACGCGATATCTGTCACATATGACAGCGAATGCTGGACAATCTCCTCAAAGATGATCAAGAATCTTTATTGCCAGCCAGGTCTATTTTTTCTAAATTTCTCCTGTAATATATATATATATATATATATATATATATATATATATATATATATATATATATATATATATATATATATATATATATATATATGAATGATTCTTTTTTCTTTATTTCTTTTATATAGGTACGTCCACTGAATTTTTGATACTTAATGTTTAAAATTAATTGCTATGTTATTGCTTTTCCAACATCTTATCTTGTTGAATCGGGATTTTATCGTATTTCTCAACTATTATCAAAAGTTCGCAATAGACTTGACATTGTGAAAACAGTTGATCTTTGACTGTCATTAACATCGATGGAACCAGATATAAAGAAACTCGATGATCAGCATCAACCAAAGGAATCTCATTGAATAAATATACCTTTCTTGTTTTTACTCTATTCATACACTTAACATAAATTGGTTTATTAAAACTTTAACCAGTGTGCATAAATAAATGCTACAGTGAATTCAATTGCCTGAAGAGCTCTGTTCCCCATGGACTTGACCATGGAAAAAACATTGTAATACAAGATATTGGTCAATAAAAATTATTATTATTATTGTTGTTGTTGTTGTTATTGTTATTATTGCTGATGTTGTTGTTGTAGAATAATTTATTTCCATTAAATTAGTTTTCATTTAAAAATAAAGCTTAATTATATAATATCTCTTTGATTATTAAAACCTCAAATTTTTTATTAGTGAAAAATAGAATATTGTTGTCTTATGTCAAATAGCTATTAAGGGTGGGGTGCAACAAAAAAAAAGAAGGGAAAAGGGGTCCCTGGTTAAAAATGTTGGGAACTTTTGATTTAAAAAGAAAATTCAACAGTAATAAAATATCGTAAATGTGAGAGTAAAAAATAATAATGGAGTAAACAATTCATCTAAAAGATTTCTAAAACAACTTTTTATTCGGAATTTAATTCAAGCTTCTGTTCTTATTAATTATACACAGTTAATTGCTTGAAGAGGTTAAAAAACATGTATTTTCATTTTCTATACAGAGATCTTTTTTTTTTTCTGGAAGGGTTAAAAACAAAATCAGAGGTTGCACTATACAGGAAGTCGGTTTATATACGAGTATATACGATAACCTTTCTTTTATTTATTCCCATTCTTTTTATCTTGCATATCAAATTTTGTTGGATTTAATTATTTTATATGATTTTTGATTTCTGACCGTAGCTCTTCTTTATTCGTTCATTCATTTTATTTTCGTCGTTCACTTTTCAACTATTCATTAATTTTCTTTTTTAATCTTTTATGACTTTCTGCTCATATGTTTGTCTGTTTTAGTTCTTTTAATTCATGAAATTCTTTCTTCTTTTAGCACTCTTGTTCGTGTTTCTTTATTTCTTTCATTACTTATTAATTATCTAAGTCCGTAGCTTTTTGGTGGGGAGTTGTTAGCACTCTGTGTTTTATCACTTCCTTTTGCCACCATCTTGTTTTCATCTTTCACTCTTCTTTATTTTTTTAGCCTCGATTTCACTTTACTCTTTGTATTTATTCTTCTTTCACGTTTTCTCTTTCTTTTTTATATTTTCACTATTTTTCTATTTCTTTTCAAATTCTCTCTTCTTTCTTTTTTTTAATTCCCCCCCCGTCTCTTTCTCTCTTATTTGCTTTCTCACCGTCTCTTATTTCTTTCTTTGTCATACTTGACTATTCGAGAGAAACTTTTCCAACCAACCCTTTTTACTGATTGTCTTTATATTTTGAGTGTACGCGCATGCGTGTAAAGAACCATACATACAAATACAAAGGCTTATACAAATTGACCAAGAAAGGTCAATGCGATCTGCCTATTCATTCAATTGACTAGCGATCAGCACGGCTATTTCTATGCCATAGACACTCTTGAAATCGTTTGCATTGTTCTGTTCATCATCGAAAAAGGCCGTTCTTCGATACTTCTCCTCTTTATTGCCAGCCAGATCTATTTTTCTAGTTTTCATCGCAACGTACACCGAATCTACGTTCCATATTGTTTTCTTTCACCTTGATTATTATTTTTCGTTTGGCAGGCGGATTCACGAAATGCGAAGGGAATCTCCCGCCAAGTTATCTGAAGCGAACTTCAGCAAATGTTGTCGACTCACGAACGCACAGCAGTGGGCAGTGCAATAAAAGGTGGAAAGCCGCAGAAATTCAATGACGATGCAAAATACGCGCATTATTAAAATGCCTCTCTTGCTGCGCGGATTTCGCTACAGAGTGCAGGTTATTTGTTCTTTCAACAGCACACCACCTGGTTGCCAGGAAATAGTTTCAAATTATTATGAGTTTATATCATATCAAAACGATGCATTGTTTCAACCTGAAAACAGGGTAATTGTTACAATATTTCATTGATTTATTACCACGAATTCAAAAGACAAAAGATTTCGAAACACTTATCGGTACTTTACACTAGAACAAATATATATATATGAAATAACGATATATATTTTTATATATAAAAAAAAAATTGGGGAAATCATATGTTTCATTGTGACGCGTTTCGTCCATCAGGACTTCTTCGGACTAAATTAGATATGTTAATACGATTACACATGCGCACGAACGAGGGGTGCTGGGGTTTTTAGAGTTTTTTTTTATTTTTTAAATTATTTTTTTCATATTTAGTCGAATTCTTTTAGTCTTACTTTTTTCTATAAATTTTGTTAGTAAGTAACCCACACTGTAATAATAGATCTACTTTGATGGAATGTAAAAGCCAGGGATCAAATTTACTCGAGAAGATCTTGTAATCAAGGCACTCTCTATACATTTCCCCCTAAAATTCTGAAAGAAATTCTAAAAAATCCCTAGCACCCCTGGTTCGTTCGAATGTGTCGTCGCACAAAGATAACACATTTAGTCCCGTGAAGTACTAAAATGCGTCATAAATAAACTTTTTCCTTTTTATTATATATATATATATATATATATATATATATATAACGTTCACTCAATTTGATATTGATCATTTTATGCGAATACATTTAAAATATTTACTTAGATTGCAAGAATTTGTGGGGTGGAGTATATAATGATTTTACTGATACGATTTCTAGCTTGGTGGAGAAAAGGTGAATTCATCACTTTTCCAAGGATATTTGCATGTAAATTAATATAGTCCACAGTCAATTTGTTTTAGACCGGTTCACAGACTCTTCGTTTGTGGTAAAGTTCAGAGTAAATTTGTTTGTGGTTCAGTCCACATTAGATTTATTTGTGATTCAGTTCAGAGTCTTTCTTGTTCAGCTCACAGTATATTTGTTCGTGCTTAAGTCCACAGTGGATTGGTTTGTGGCGCAGACCACAGTCTCTTATTTTGTGTTTAAGTTCATAGAGTTTTGTTTGTGGTTAGGTCCACAATCTCTTTGGTTGTGGTTCAGTATACAATCTTTTGCTTGTCGTTCACTTCACAGTCCCTTTGTTTGTGGTTGAGTCCACAAACACTTAGATTGTGGTACATTCCACTGTCTATTTCTTGTGGTTAAGCCCACAGTTCCTTTGTTTGTAGTCCAGTTCACTGTCTCCTTGTTTGAGGTTCGATCCACTTTCTCTCCGTGGTTTAGTCCACTATCATTTTATTTGTGGTCCAAGCCACAGTCTCTGTGTTTGTGCTGAAGTATACTGTTTCTTTTATTTTTCGTTTCGCCCACAATCTCATAATTGTGATTCAGTCCACATTTTATTTTTTCGTACTTTTCACATTTTTTTGTTTCTAGTTCATTCCACGGTGTCTTTATCTGTGGCTCAAGACAAAGACTCCTGGTTTGTCGTAGAGTTCACAATCTCTGGTTTGAGTTTTAGTTCACAGTATCTATTTATTGTAGTCCCTTTTTTGTTCAGTTCACAATCTATTTAGTTTTTGTTTAGGTGCACAATCTCTTTTTGGTTCAGACCTCAGTCGAATTGTTTGTGTTTCAGGTCACAATTTCTTTGTAGTTCAGTCCACATTCTCTTAGTTTTGAGATGCAGTTCACATTCCCTTTGTTTGTGGTTCAGTCCTCATTCGTTTGTTTGTGTTTCCGTTCACAGTTTCTTTGTTTTATGTTCAGTCTACAGTCGATTTTTTGTGGTTCAATACACAGCCTCATTGCCTGTGATTCATTTCACAATCTTTTTTGTAGTTCATTCCACAGGCACTTTCTTTGTGGTTCAGTTCATAGTTTCTTTGAATTTCAGTCCACACATTTTTTCTCGTTAAGTCAACTTTGTCTTTGTTTCTGTTTCCGTCCACATTCTCTTTGTAGTTCAGTCCCCAGTCTCTTTGTTCGTGTTTCAATCCGCAGTTTCATTTTTATGGTTCATTCCACAGTCTCAATTTTTGTTGTTCAGTCCACAGTCTCTTTTTTGCGGTTCAGTCTACAGTCTCTTTGTGGTTCATTTCACGGTGTATTTGTGGTTCAGTCCCTAGTCTCTTTGATTTTGGTTCATTTCACAGTCAATTTTCTGTGTGTAAGTCCAAAATCTCTTTGTAGTACAGTTCAGATTTTCTTTGTTTCTGGCTCAGTCTGCCTTCTCTTTGTTTGTGGTTCAGTCCAGAATCTCTTTGTAGCTCATCCAGCAGTCTCCCTTTTCGTATTTCAATCCAGTCTCAATCCTTGTGGTTCAGTGCACAGCCTCTTTGTGATTCCGTCCATGGTGCCTTTTTTGTGGTTCAGTCCACAGTCTCCTTTTTGTGATTCCGTCCACAGTCTCTTTTTTGTGGTTCAGTCCCCCTCTCTTTTTTGTGATTCCGTCCACAGTCTCTTTGTCTGTGGTTCCGTTTGCAATGTTTTTTCGTTTTTTTTTTTTGTGTGTGTGTTTGATCCCATAGTCTCTTTTTAGGTTCAGTCCGCAGTCTCTTTGTGGTCCAGTCCACTTTTTTTTCGGGTTTCAATTCACAGTCTCTTTGTTTGCGGTTCATTCCACAGTCAATTTTTGTAGGTCATTTCCCAGCCTGGTTGTTTGTGGTTCAGTCCACAGTCTCCTTTTAGTAGATCAGTCCACAGTCTCTTTGTTTGTGGTTAAGTTCACAGTATCTTTGGGACTCAGCCCCCAGTCTATTTGGAAGCAATAATTTTCAGAAAATAAATTTTAAAAAAAGTATAAAGTAAATGCAAACAGAAGAAGGAAAAAAACATTTCTGTTGAAGGAAGATTTTAAGTTATCGCAACGTCAACGTGCATTAAACTTCTTGTCCGGAAAGAAAGAAAAAATAAAATGAATTTCAAATACTGGTCTTTGAGAGTCTTTGAGAGTCGTCTCAAAGAAGAATAGCTGCTTTGCGAAAACCAGAACCCGCATATTTAATTGTTATGTTAATTGAGAAAAAAAAAAATAAACTGATAGCGTTAAATTTTATATTTTGGTGTTCGGCTACAACGTATTGATTGCACGAAGGTAAGTAGAAAAAAAAACTATCCGTATTTTCGCCATAACATATATTTCGGTTTGTCACACTAACTTTTCTCTAACTGGATGTCAATTTCGAAAAAAAAAGGATGATTTAAATTCCCCGAGGACTTTAAGCGATACAAAAAATCAAATGATTGAAGGGAACAGATCTGAAAAAAATTTTTTAGTAAGAGTTTCAAAAACGTAATATTTAAAAATAATTTAATTCGCTTTTAATAAGACCTGAAAGTTTCATTACAATAGGACAATTGTTGGATTTTTGCAAGAATTTTCAAATCAATGTGTTTTTCATGGCAAAAAAGACGTTCAAATTTCCCGTACAACTTTAAGGTCTCGCGTTGACAACAGAAAAAAAAAATCCGTCAGCTGATGAGTTAGAAGAATTAATCAAATAGTTTAAAATAAAACCTTTGGAACACTCCTGACATTTTGTTAATTCCCTCAGGGTGAGACGTTAGTAATTTGCATAAGTAATTACCTTTATGTATTTTAAGGGTAACAAAGTCGGTGGATTCAGGATATTTTTCAGAATGAGCACCATAAAAAGTTCGTCGAAATTACAGTCGTCTATGATGTTCCGCAAGCTCAGTCGATGTCACCTTATTGTGTCGGAAATCATATCTGTGGCCATTAAATCTTTTGTTGTGTCGGATTATTATTATTATTATTATTATTATTATTATTATTATTATTATTATTATTATTCCTGCTTTATTTCATGTAGAGCCGGGCCCAAACAATGGTCCTTAGACACTATAGGTGAATTTTAATTTAATTAATAGCACTTTTCTTAGTACATTGGATGTTCCTAGTAGGGTGATCTTCTGGGCAACATCTATGTCGATGCTACCTGGGACACTGTTAGTAAAAATGTCTATTCCTTTTCTCACGAGGCCCAGAGCTCCGATTACTATTGGTACAGTTTCAGTCTTCACTCCCCACATCCTGTTAATCTCAATATCCAGGTCCTTGGATTTGGACAATTTCTCGATAATTTTCATGGAGATATTTCTCTCAGATGGTACTGCTATGTCAATAAGTATACACTTTCTGAATTTCTTGTGGTTTTGATAATATCAGGTGTGTTGGCTTTTATTTTCCTATCAATTTGAATTGACATGTGGTAGAGGATAGTTACATCGTTATTTTTGGTAACTGCGTCGGGTTGGTGCTCATACCATCTCTCATTGGTTTCGATTTTGTACTTTTTGCATATCTTCCAGTGCACATATGTCGCTGTTTTGTTATGTCTGTGTGTTTATTCTTTTTTTGCCAATTCCGGACATCCCAAGATAATACGGTCGACAGTTTCATCATATTTTCAGCAGATGCTGCATTTCGGATTAGTTCCATCCTTGATTATAGGACGTCGTGAGCTGCAATGATTAAGTTTTCTCTCTCAGCTTTCAGCCCGTTGCTCCTTTGCCACTGATGCGTTTTCTGTTGGTCCGCATTATTATTATTATTATTATTATTATTATTATTATTATTATTATTATTATTATTATTTCTGATTGTATACTCATATTCTTTCTCTTGTATACTCATATCCTTTCGGGTCCTAACCAGAGACCTAAGGTCAGAAATGGCTTCATAACATCTTTACTAAATATTTTCGTACAAAATCTAAAGCTAAAATTAACCAACCTTAGAACACATATTTTATATAAATAAGCTCCTGCGTAAGATTTGAGCTGCGTAAGATGTGAGATCAATGTGTGAATCAAAGCCAAGATCATAACAACTGGATTTACTGATGTCTTCATGTATCACATTTTTGTGATTTCAGATTTAAAATCTATTTCGATAGATTATGTCTGCAGAAACTGCCATGTCAATAAGAAAGTACACTAAGCGATTAGCATTGATTGTTTTCTCTGTGTGTAAAGTCATATAAAATTATTACAGGTCCTATATGTAAGTAGGTGTGGATGGTGTTCATGCCAATTATTATTTTTTCTTTTGTTGTCAGTAATATACATAGTTACTTCCGGGTCCCAACCAGAGACATAAGATCAGAAATAGCTTCATGACATGTAAAAAACAAAAACAAAGATGACACAAATTTTATACAAATAAAGTTCTTCGCAATGCTTGAGCTGTACTTGTTAGGACAATATTTTTCATTTCTTTAGGGCATGTTGTAAACTTTAATGACTCTACTGGAATCTTTTCCAACCAATCTGAGGGCTCCAACTACAACAGGGATTGTTGATTTCATTATTATTATTATTATTATTAGAATAATTATTATTTTGTCATTAACAAACACAATGGTTGACGTAATTTTTCAAAAACTTAGAGAAAAACGTAATATAAGAAAAGAAAGCCAAAACAGCATTTAACAAGGTTCGACAAAATGTCTGTTTTTTTCAATGTTTAAAAAATGCTTACAATTATAAAAAAGTATTTGTACAAAAATTGCTTGTATTGAGGACAAAAAACGGTTGTACTGGTAATCAACGCAAATAAACGAATGAAACGCAGCCATCGTGAATAGAATGCAAGTAAAACTTTAGTAACATGATGGGGTCGTGCTAATCTTAAAATTTTCTAAACAAACTAAGATCACACACATTTTATATAGATAAAGGTCTTCGTAAATTGTGAGCTATACTTGTGCGTAGAATTTTGTTTTTTTATTTCTTTAAGGTATGGAGTACCAGGAATCCGTTCAATTAGTCTATCTGAACAAATCCTAGTGCTCGAACTTCAACTGGAATTATAGATGTCCTCATGTGTCACATTTTCACTTCAAGATCCTTGTATTTTGATAGTTGTTTTGAAGATCTGCAAAGATACATTACAATCTACATGGATTGCTATGTCAATAAGAAAAAGCATATTCCGTTTTTTTGCCTTTGATCACGATATCTGGACGATTGTTTGTGTTTATTGTAATGTCCCATAAAATTGTTACAGGTCCTATCTATCTATCTATCTATCTATCTATCTATCTATCTATCTATCTATCTATCTATCTATTATTATTATTATTATTATTATTATTATTATATTTCATGGTGTATGCTCATTTCATCCCGAGTCCTGACCAGAGACCTAAGGTCAGAAATGCCATCATGACATTTTCTGCTAAGCAATTTTGAAACAAATAATTACATAGATAAAGCCCTTCGTAAGATGTGGGCTGTACTCGCGAGAACAATTTTTTGTATTTCTTTTAGACTTGGGCTACCAGGAATCCCTTAATTAAGTCTATTGCAATTTCTTTCCAATTAATCCGAGGGCTCTAACTACAACTGTGCCATATTTTTGAGATTTCGATTTCATGGTCCTTGTATTTTTGAAGATCTTCAAAGAAACATTGCAGTCTGCAGGGTCTGCCATATCAATAAGGAGAGAGTTTTTTGTCTGCAGTTTCTAATAACAATGTCTGGGCAGTTAGTTCTGATTGTTCTGTCAGTGTGTATTGTGAAGTCCCATAAAATTGTAACAGTTCCTATCTCCGTAACTGGGTCTGGGTGGTGTTCATACGAATTTCTTTCAGTTTCTTTTCCATAGAAGTTACAGATTTTCCAGTGCAGATATTGGCTCAATCTGTCATGCCGGGTTTTATATTCAGTGTATGCTAATACCGTGCTGCCTGATAAAAGATGATCAAATGTTTCTGCATATTTATCATAGAATCTGCATTTTGGGAAAACACAATATTTTAGTATGTGTGCATTTTGGGCTAACACAATATTTTAGTATGTGTGCATTTTGGGCGAATACAATATTTTAGTATGTGTGCATTTTGGGCTAATTTCTAGTTAACAAGCATTGGTCCTGTGCAGCAAGGATAAAACCTTCAGTTTCAGCTTTTAACCTTGCACTACGTAGCCACTGATGGGTATGTGGAGATGTTCTCGAAAAAGTAAACAGAAACAAATGTCTCATTAAATAATTTACCATTTCTAACTGTATTTCTTTTATAGTAAGGAATTTGAATTTTTTGTGGACTGTATTAGTCGCAATCATGTGATTCTTGCAGTAAAATAAAGAACCTTGTTTAAATAATATAACATTAACTTTGTGTTTTCTTCTTCAAAACTCCAGAAAAAGGCAGCCTTTGAGACGGAACGCTCCGAGGTCGAGACAATTTATTATAGAACATTTGATATAATGACCCTCCTCTGAGACACTGCATAGTTTTCTTGTCTGATCTCTCTAAAAGATTGCCGAACCCGGATTTATTTGAACAGTTGCTTGGTTCTCTGGAAGTTAAGATTTCACGGGTAATGTTAGTTGATTTACATTTATTTATGCTACACGAACTTTTGTGTTCCACGAGTTGTATGGCATTTACAGCTTCTTTAGAAAGGTTTAAATCGACAGTTTCCGAGGGAAATGTTTTCTAGTATATTTTCTTCTCTGACATGGAAGTTACCCGTCAAGGTCGCGTTGAAATAAATTTTCTAGCTACTTTTGCATGTTTTCTATCGTAATTTTAATCAATCAAAAATGCAGTAATTTAAAAAAAAAAGTGTTAATTATTTTTTCAAATGAAAACCTGTTTTAAATTATGTGAGAGTAATGCTGTTAACGTCGAAATCGATGGAGCCACAAATTCAAAATGGCACGTAGCTTCTGTTGTAACCTAGAAAAGGTTACTGAATGAGGAATAACCAAAAGTGGAGGTTGGAAATGAAATGGTAATCTTTATAACATCAACAAAATACAATACTCGCCAGCGGCGTGAAATAGGTAAACCACTATGCAGAACCTTTCAATGATTTCTGCCCGGCAGAAAACCCTGCAAGACAATTTTGTGATATGATATTATTTAAAAATAAAAGATACTTACATTGGTCTTGGTTTCATAAATAATATGTTGCCTATTTTCCTCCATTTCCAATGCTGGGATTATGAATAAAAATATACCTGTATTTACATTTTTTTTTAGAAAAAGCATGATTACAAATGTTTCAATAACGAAATCCATGATTTCAAGGAAATTAATGCTAAACGCGGCTAATGCCACCTACAGACAAAAGTATAAAGAAGCCAAAAACTTCATATAGTATAGTTCTTAGCATATGTATCACTGGCGTGGAAGAGCAACAGGTCTTCTCTAAATAACATCAAAAGGTATTTAATGTTATCGATCCTGACCTGGCATATAGATTCCAGCTATTTTCCAACTAGCGTAACTTGTCTTCCTTTCATCTTTTCTATAAATATTTAGCAATTGTTTTAATGAACTTTCCACCTTAAAAACCGAATATATTTAAGAGTATTACTAGTTTGGCAACTAGTTATCATCAATTTACTGTTTAAATTTTTAAAATTAATTCACCCTTAGCAAGGCAGTAATACCATTAAGACGCAAGGGAGTGAAACAGAATGCGAAGATTTTTATTTTTAAAGAGAAAATAATGGATAATGCTCTGCTCCTGATCAAAATATCGAGGTCCTCGGTGAAGCGAACGATAGACGAACCTATCTACTGCTATTGAAGGAAAAAATAAATAGTAAACAAAATTTCAGAGTGTAGGCGAAGACGTTAGAAATAGAGTTGAGTTAAATTTAAGAAGGAACCGGAAATCCAGTGCTGAAAAGGAAATAAGGAATAAACGTATACTCCTGTTCAAAAGCCCGGATAGGAGTGTGAACCAGACGAAATAACTAGATGTAAACGTAATTTCTATTCTAATAGGATCTTTTCTCATACGTCCCTCCTGTGGAATCCTTATCATGTTTCTTGCTTCCGTGTCACCTAAAATCTTCGAAAAATTAACTACAACGTCAATCGCCATTTTATTTTTCTTTCTCCTGAATAAAGTGTCCCAGGAACTTAATCTGCCACTTCTTGATGTTAATCATGACCTTCCTCATTGTCTGCATCCGCTTCAAGACCTCATCGTTGCTCACACGCTAGGTCCACGATATCCTCAGCATCCTTCTGTAGAACCACATCTCCGTCGCCTGGAGTCTCGTCTACATCCTTGAGGAAATCGTCCAACATTCGTTGCCGTAAAGACGGACAGATGTCACGTAACAGCTCAGTATTCTTTTCTTTGTTAGCAAAGAAATCCTCCTGTCTCGCAATACTCTGCCCAGCTTTTGGAATGCGTCCTTGGTCATCCCAATACGTCTACGGATCTCGGTGTCGCACTTACCGTCCTCTGTCAAGACTCTTCCCAGATATTAGCACAAGTGACGGCAGTCGTGACCATCAGCTATGGATCGGTACAAGCCAGGGTACCTGATGAGCTCGGATCACCATAGAGTTTGTGTGTTGGGTGTCGAAACATGCAAGGAGTGCAACGTTAGTTCGTGAGAAGCTAAAACGCTTCTTTTTGGAATAGAAGTGTGTTGAACGATACTAGAAGATCATTGCCGTGCAAGGGGACTACGTCGTAAAAGGACATTTTTTTTTGCTTTATATCAGTGGAAATAAATCTGTTGTATGGAAATTGCCTTTACTTTTCGATTTACCCTCGTATACAGCATAAGTATAGTATTTATTTCACTGTAATTTGTGAAATAGATTTTATGTTTAAAAAACAAACAAACAGTGATGGAGGAGCTATGTAGAAGAATAGTCCCCTAATGAGAATACAAAAACACTTTCAGAAAAAAAAAAAATGAATTCTCGATATGACGGTATTTGGGAAAACGTAACGAGATATGACATTTCCCGCAATAACTGCTGCTGCTGTTTTCAAGTGCGCGGGAAATAATCAGCTTACAAGAAGGAAAAGAAAAGGTAAAAAAATAAACGTCGAGAAAGAAGAGGGAAACGAAGTGGAGAAAGATGTGAACGAAAGAAAGGGAGAAAGAAAGGGGGACAGGTGTGAACGAGAGAAAAGGAGTAAGAAGGGGGAGAAAGATGTGAATGAAAGGAAGAGAGAGAGAGAGATGTAAACAAAAGAAAAGGAGAATGATATGAAAGAAAGAAAGAGCGAATGATGTGAACGAAAGAAATGGAGAAAGAAGGAAGACAGATATGAACGAGAGAAAATGGGGACGGAGGGGAGAGTGATGTGATGAAAGGAGGGGAGAAATATGTAAACGAAAGGAGAGGGAAAAGATGTGAACGAAAGAAGGGGAGAAATAAACGGGAGAAAGTTGCGAACGAAAAAAAAGGAAAGAAAGATGTGAAGTAAAGAAAAGGAGAGAAATGTGGACGAGAGAAAAGGAGAAAGAATGGGAGACAGATGTAAGCGAGAGAATGGGAGAAAGAAACGAAAACAAATGTGAACGAGAAAAAGAGAGGAAGAAGGGGAGAAAGATGTTAATGAAAGTAAGGGAGAAATATGTAAAGGAAAGAAGGGGAGAAAGATGCAAACGAAAAAAGTGGAGAATGAACGAAAGAATGGGAGAAAGAAGGAGAGATAGGGGCGAACGAAACAAAGGGAGACATATGTCAACGAGAGAAAGAGAGGACGAAGGGGAGAAAGATGTGAATAAAAGGAAGGGAGAAATATATAAACGAAAAGGGAGGAAAAAGATGTGAACGGAAGAAGAGATGTGAAAGATGTGAAAGAGAGAAGGAAGAAAGATGTGAAGGAAAGAAGAGGAGAAAGATGTCCACAAAAAAGGGAGAATGAAAGAAGGGGGGAATAATGTGAAAGAAAGAAAGAAAGAAAGAAAGAAAGAAAGAAAGAAAGAAAGAAAGAAGAGTAGAAAGATGCCAACAAAAAAGAGGAAAATGAAAGAAAAGGAGACAGATGTGAACGAGAGAAAGGGAGGAAAAGGGGAGAATGAAAGGATGGGAGAAAGATATAACCGAAAGAAGAGGAGAAAGGTTTAAACAAAAGAAGGGGCGAAAGATGTGATCGAAAGAAAGAGAGAGAGGGGAGAAATATGAGAATGAAAGATGGAGAGAAAGATGTGAAATAAAGAATAAGAGAAAGATGCCAACGATAAAAGGGGAAATGATATGAAAGAAAGAAGAGGCTAATGATGTGAACGAAAGAAAAAGGGAGACGGAAGGGGAGAAAGATGCGAACGAAAGAAAAGGAGACAGATGTGAACGAGAGAAAAGGAAGAAGAAATGGAGAAATATGTGAATGAAAGGAACGTAGAAATACGTGAAGAAGTTATAACAACGAGACATTAGATGTCTTAAACGCTTCCTGCACCTCCGAGATAATGCCTGTATCACACGGTTTAATAATATGTCAGTGTGCATCCACACGAGTAAACCAGCCATTCTGGGAGATGAGGGATTTTATCGAGTCATCATTTCTAGAATGGTTACCAACCAAAGCTATAAAACATAGTATGTCCTGATATTTAACCCGTAGCTAGAGGGTGAAATAAAAGAAGGGTAAAAGGGTGTTTACTCGTAAGTGACTGTAACGAACTCAGCTAAAATTTGAACTGAAAGAATTTTCAGCAAACGCCTAAAAATTCCAGATTTTATTATTTTCCCCTTTGATAATGCATCTTGTCACAGGATAAAGGATCTTAAAGACTTCCGGGAAATAGACATAAAATTAACATTTTTTGTATTGATTACATACTAACAGACTGTTTCACATATTGCGATTTCCACAATGAGCGTTGGTTTAACTTGGACGCCCCCTACTTCTCTTTTTCTTGTTTTTCAAAAGGAATGAGATCCAATAATAAAACAGAAAAAAGTATTAGAATGATAAGTAATATAAAACAAACAGATATAGAAAACAAGAAGAAGAAATATAAATTTATGTATGAACGAGAAAACGGAGACTTCAAGAACGAGAATTAATTAATAAAAAAAAACCATTAAATTCTTTCGAATTTTTTTGAAAAAAACGTATAAACGCACTGTATATAAAAAATATACGTAACTAATAAATATGTGACTTATGTATGGTGGCACTGATCTGTGGATAATTAGTTGGAACTGACAGTCACTATGCCGTGTAGACTTCTATATCCACAGTTTATATATCTACAAACATTTTATCACTGACACAGAACTATCTTCCTGATAGATACTACAAAGTTTAAACAATATACAGTGTCTTGCAGGATCCTTAACCCCCAACTAAACGTTTCCACATTTTATGTTTTGTCACCAAATTAAATGTTTTTTTTTATTAGAATATTATATAATGGATCAAGCCATAGTTTTACATCATTTTAAAATGGAGGACGGGGTATTACGATATTTATTTTGTATTTATTTACAAATAAAAACCTACAAAATGTTGAGTGCATATGTTTTAGGTCCTTTAGATTGAAAACCTCAAGTAAATTCCAGTGCAACCAATTGCCTTCAGACGTCATATAATTATTAGGTTGGTGCAAAAATAATGACGTAATAATGACGTTTTTCGACGTATTTTTAACGTCAAAAAACGACATTATTACGTCATTATTTTTGCACCAACCTAATAATAAGCCGAGTCCGTCTGATTAGGTCGATTTGTTTTGAGTAAAGGAAAGAATGGAGGAAAAAAAAGATGACCCTTGATTCGGCACTCTTAAGTTGAGTAGACCTGTTCTGTAAAGGTTGCAGAGGACATTATTGAACCATCAGCATCATAAAAGCCGGGGAGCTCTTCCAGATGTGGAGAAGTCTGAATAAAGGTTAGGTTATACAAATTATTCCACGTTTTTTAACATCTCAGGCGGAACTGTTAAATATATCACCCAAAAATGGAAAGAGTCTGACAATACCACAAAGTAACTAAAACAAGGGCTTCCACCTCAACTGACAGACGGGGCAAAGAAAACATTAATCAAGCAAACAAGAAACCCTTGGTAACTAGCAAAGACCTGGAAATCTCCACAGCCCAGTTGGGAGGATCAGTTAGTCAAAAATCTAGCCATTATAGAAGAGTGGCAAGAAAAACAATCATTGTCGAAAGAAAGCCATAAAAATCCCGTCTGCTAAAAACTATGACAGATATTCAGAAAACACGCGGAGGAAAGCGCTCTGGTCAGATGAAAAATAAATTTAAATTCTTGTCCTTAATGCAAAACGTTACTTGTGGTGAAAGCCTAACATTGCATAACACCCTGAGGATACATTACGCATCGTGAATCTTAGTGATGACAACATCAAGCAATCGGGATGCTTTTCTTCAGGGGCAGGGACAAAGAAGCTAGTCAGAGTTGATGGGAAGATGAATGGAGCCATTTATCTACGAAAAGATATTACAGTCTGAAAAAGAATTAAGATTGGGGTGGATGTTCACGTTCCATCAGGACAACAATCTTAAAAAATATTGCCAGATCGACAAAGGAATAGTTTAGATCAAAGCATATTAATGCGTTAGAATGACCGAGTCAAAAATAAAGCATAAATCTAATTTTGAATCTGTGACAAGACGTAAAAAATTGGTTCTCACAAACGGCCTCCTTCCAAATGGACTAGGCTTGAGATATTTTGCAAATAAAGAATGGATAAGCATTTCAGTCTAACATTTCAAAGCTGGTATAGAGTCATACGCCAAAAGAACTTCAGCTATAATTGCAACATAATTTCATTCTACAAAGTATTGACTTCGTGGTGTTGGATCATTACTTATACATCCAAGAGATGACTATTTTGTTGACCTAATAATTGTGTGCATGACAATAAAATGCATTTGCACCTTCAAATCATTGTGGATTTTGAGTTGATCAAATGGCAAAAAGAACATTAATTCAATCTGAAATGAACTTGGTAAAACAGCACAGTCTGGAAAAGTTCAAGCGGGTGAAATTTTATGCAAGGCAAAATATATATGGGGCAATTGATATTTATTTATTATTTCACTGTCTATCTCTCTCTCTCTCTCTCTCTATCTCTCTCTCTCTCACACACACACACACACACACACATATATATATATATATATGTTATGAAATGGATTCCGGGAATTATTTAATAAGTGTTTTGCTTATACGTTATTTTAATAGATACAATTTATTTAATTAGAAGATTTGTTTCAAATAAACAGTATCAATTATATTTACCGACCTGAATGTTCGAGAAATTTCGTAGAAAATATATTCTCCAACAGGAATCAAACCTGTTTTCTAATCGGAACCGTTAATTGATCTGACGTGCTATACCACTCAGCTATAGGGAAGCGTCTTAATCAATTTCATAGTATGTTGTCAATGTTTACATTAAGGTACGTTTCGCCAGTAGATATGATCGTTCGGGAAATATCGCCGAAGGTTTGTTGTTTATAAACAGTAATTTGGACTTTGCTAACCCGACGCGGTTTATATATGCTTGGATGACTACCATCACGGGAATTATGACTATGTGCGCTATATTGAGTCTAGTTAGTTTCTTCTTCTTCACAAAGGCACGCTGGCCCAGTGATATGACACTTGCGTTGTGTCGTAACGGGGTGGGGGGTCGATTCTCGGTAGCGAATGCGGACTGCTGACTTCCAAAAAGGACGAAACGGCCGCCCAGTGCTTTCTGCATTCTGTTGAGGTTCCTTATTCTTGACTAAATTAATTATTATGGGAAATTAATTAAATCTCCAATCTTTCTCTCTTCCACTCTCTCTCTTTCTCTCTCTCCCTCTCTCTCTCTCTCTCTCTCTCTATATATATATATATATATATATATATATATATATATATATATTGTTAGTATAAAATCTATATTATACATAATGCGATGGATAAATTGTCGTCTCATTTACGTAAAAGTGAAAATGACACTATCATGTGATTTTATCTGATTTATTTAGACAAAATATCTTGAAATACTACAGAGTAAATTTATTCAATAAAATCACTATTGTCTTCAACCACAGCCTCCATACGTCTTCGGAATCTCCTGCATCTCTTCTGGATGATCTCTTTGTTTAAGTTGGGGAATGCTACCATAATCCTTGCCTTCATTTCCCCTTTGGTTTGCTTGTCTCTTGCTTAACTGCACCCCAAACATAATAATCTAAGGGTTGCAGTCGGGGTAGTTATGTGGCCAGATGTAAGCTGTGATGCGGTTGTAGAAATTCTTTGATTGCTATGACTGGGTTCTCCTGCTTGTGTGGCATGTGGCAGACTCATGTTCCTAGACATAGTGTCGTCTAGCAGCCACCCTCTTGACCAAGGGCAACACTACCTCCTAAAGGTACTTGATGTATGCCTTCGTATTGAATTTGTGGTAAGATGAATGTAGGCATAGTGTCGCCTTAATTAGCAATCATTCCAAACACATTCGTAATCAGCATTGAACTCATTCAACCCTTTTCGAATCCTCTGCACTGTCTTCAGATTAACATCCAACGCCACTGAAATATTCGTATTGGAACTTCCAGCCCAAATGCTAAGCAGTACAACATGACATTTCCAAATTTCTGGCGGAGTGAATTGTGTCAGTGTTCTCTTTTTCTCTCGGACGGTGCCCAACTGACCCTACCATACTGTACATTAGACATAATAAAAAACAAACCAGTCTTAGGCGCGAAATTAAAAATATGAAATGGTGAAAATTTACCCATCGCACCTGTATGCTTTAGAAAATAAAAATATATAAAAACAAACTTAACCAATTGATATCAGAAAGTCTAAATAACTTACTATGATATTGAAAATTTTAATTAATATACATATGCAATCTATGTTTAGTTTGAATTCTCTCTCATTTCGTTCTCTTTATATATATATATGATTTATTATGTTTTTCATCTATATATAATGTTTATTATGATAAAAATATAGTTTCAATAGTTTTAAGTTATCCTATATTTATGGATTAAAAAGCTCAATATCAGGAATAGAACGTATGTAAGTATAAATGTGGACAGATATATTTTAATTATATATATAACTATATTTATTTATAGATTTTATTATAAATATTATATGTATGTGTGTTTGCATTTCAGAAAAAAATACACTTACTGACCAAAAGGACTCAATAAAATTCAATCACTTAAACCTGCTAAACGTCATTTCAAATGACAAAACATAACAAAAAAGAAAATAGTAATTTAAAATATACGTCAAATAGGTCGCCTGTATATCGAACGACACAATGGTCTGTTGATCGTGGACACTTGAAATCGAGACTGAAGGATTGTACTAATACTGCTTACCTTTATTTTTTATACTACTCATTTCGAAAAATCTCACAACATACCAAGTTACCTCCCCTTAAACGGTCTTCCG